TCCAACTATGTCTACAAATTCAGACTTGTTAATCCAACGATAAGTTGACGAAATTAGCGCGAAATGTATTGTTCAACACCTGACGTACCATATGGACACTCTAGTATCCATCGGTGCGGGAATTATTGTCCTTTAAAATCATTCTGAAGCCTCTTAAGCTCATTTAAAATTTTTTCATATTAGTTCGCGTCGCTAAAAGTGATTACTGATTACTAACTGAATACTAGTTTCAATGCGACAATGTGGTTGGGAGAGACAGTAAGTGTCAACAATTCAAGCAGTGGATTAGCTCACTTTGCGATTCATTTAGAGGAATGGCCTATGAATAGTGCGAATATCAAGTTGATTATTTGCGCAAAAAGAAGTTGACGAAAACTTTATTTCAGACATGAGTGAGTTATAGAACATTCATAAACAGAGGATTATACTGACGGAAAAACCTCAAGCTTCTCTCTTGCAACACAAAAGAACCCGTCCTGTGTGTTAGTCGTCGTGTTCAGTTGTCGGAACCTTTATTATTGGGAATGATTGATAGAGAATTGTAAATCCATGAAGGTAGAGAAAGCTGCAAAATAGCTTAATCCTTTGGACAAGAGAGACTCACGGCACTAACCTTGCATCGCGGCCGTGTGCGATAACGAACAATTCGTAGTGCCGAGTGGTCAGTGATGCTGGGCTTCAAGAAGGTTGTTAGTTCGATCCTTTTCCACGACGCTTTACTGAAGTTGCTTTTTTATGGGTTTTTGGTGTCCAGTAGTATTGAAGGTTATCCCAGGGACGTGATTACAGCAAAAAAAAACCCTCAGCCATCTCACAAATCACTACTTTTTCATATGATACATAGATCCATGAGTAACAACGGAGCCAACATACAGATTCCTCAAAACTGACTGCATCCACTTCTATGCTTTAATTTTATTCTGAAAAATCGTACACCACAGAGACTTTGTTCTAAAAATCGACTTTTACGACACCGTTGAAAAAAAATGCGAAAATAAGTCGGATATACGTTATTACCCCATAGATCTACGTTTCGTATCAACGAGTGTTATAATATTTACGTAGATGGTCGCTGGTTCGATCACCTACCACGACGCTTCCCAACAGATTTCTGATGTTGACTAGTATTGGAGAATTTTCTGTAGACGTGATTTTAGTAGAAAACAAAAACAAAACGTAGATCCATGGGTAATAACGCATGTTTCCAACTTTTTTTCGTAAACCTTCCACGACTGAATTCGAAAACGTTTTAGTGTACAGAAATGTACTGCGTATAACGTCGATTTCTCACGCAACAGCGGTGCATCGTTACAAGTTGCAAAATGTTGATTGAAAGGTAATAAGTTAATTATTTGATTGAACTCTTGTGTTACGGTGTTACAATAAGATATATGATGTAATACAGTGTGTTACTGATATGGTGACATTGAACTGAAGAAACAGCGCCAAAAATCCTGACGAAAAGTGTTGTGAGAGGACAGTGAATCGGCATCCTTCTTTTTGATGACCGGCATCACTAATGACTCGGTACAAAGGATTGCCCATTGCCTCGTGCGGTGAGCCGGGGCTGGCGCCATAGTTCTGGCGTACCAAAATAGTTAACTCATTCTATCCCGTTTAACCCTTTGCTGACGATGAGGGTCATTATGACCCTCAGCTGGGCGCCGTTTGGACGATTACAAAGAGTGGTGCGTGCTCCAATATAAATTCGGGTTAATTAAGTTCTCAGAGGAACATGATCAATTTAAAATGATAAAATATCGCTGATGAAACTCTTCTTTAGATGATTTTAGCAGGATTAAAGCCAATGTTGCTCAAAATCTTTCCTTTTTCAATGGAAAAAAACCATAAACTTACGAAAAGGATTATAAACTAAACTGTTACTAAAAGTCTTCTTCTACCTTGTTTAGATTTTTGTAGCCAGTCGATAGCTTGAAAATTTCTTATCCTTACACTAAGCTTGGTGTTTTATAATAATTCCACAGTACGTTCTAATAATAAGTAAGAGATGCCGTTTTGCAATCGCAATCCAATTTTTCTAATTCATAGCTGATTTTTTGAGAACATACAGTTAGATTTCGATCCTTATAAACTTTTCTGCTGGAAGAAAAATTGAAATATCTTAGAAAAACTATTGTAATCGTTCTTCCTCAAAGAATAACGTTCAACCGTTTTAGAAGATCTTACTTTTGGAAATCACTTCTGTCACAGGCAGCCACATTTTGAAGCTTGCGCGCGTGAGCCCTTGGTTTTTTTCTAGAAAAGAGCTATTCTTCTAAACTTTTAGTGTTCACTCAATAGCTTAGATCAAATAAACTTGGACGGTATATTTCATTTACCAAATGCCTTATTTTTCGCATCGCAACAGTGAAAATAAAATTCCGTTCCACATTTCAAAATTTGTCGCCGGATGTAATCTTTTCTTTGAATAATCAGTAACCATTCAATAGTGCAAATTTCAACAATTTCAAAAGCATAGTTGATTTTTGAAAAGAACCCAAGAAGAATTATTAAGAATTATATTGAATGCTTATTGCGGGGTTAAAAAACAGCCGACGATACCACACCTTGAAGCGATGTAACAGTCAAAAGAAGATTGGATTTAGCACTCGAAAGGGTGCGATTCACGACAATGACCCCAAGTCACCGCGCTTTTTGCAACATTACCGATTAAGTGCAAAAGTAATCTTGTTTTTACTGCTACAGTGCAGCAAGAATTTATTCTCTAAAACAAGTTACTAGGGGACAAGTCGAGACTCAAGCTATCTTACATTTTTCAATAGTTTGCCGGAAACGCCTTTTTTCAGCGAGGAATCTTGAATGAGAGATATAATTTCATTTCTTTTGCTAGAGCACATTAAGCAAGCTACTAAAGTATGCCTGCAAAATTGACAATATTTCAGCAATCAAGCATTTTCCGGATCTCTTAAAAGAATCAGAAAAAGCTTTTTTTTAAAAGGTCAAAACAGGATGCGGACATCGAAAGAGATCCAAATGTTCGAGAACATAATCTTGTTTTGACTATTGCAGCGCTCTAAGGATTTTTTTCGTGCACCCTTGAAGTTGTTAAGATATGCCCTATCTAATGCCTATAAATTGCTCAAGAAAAAACTTTATGCGGCGAGAAATGCTCAAATGTCGAACAAAATCGCCAAGAAAAAACAAGTCTTTTGAGGAAATATAATACGTCGTTCAAATTTACTTGAGTATAGTTATCGAATAGTTTCCAGAAAGTCTTGTAACAGTAAAAAATACATTTTTACCAAAGGGCTCATGTATGGTGAAGATAATGAAAAGGAACCGCTACAGCTTCATCTCTTCTTCGTATACCAGAGCTATGAGTAAGTAATTCGAACAAAATTACGCATTTATATGAGAAATGGGAGTCTGAAGTGCACTAACAATCAATAAAATGTTGACAATTATAGCTAAAATGGGGTCTGAAGCAATAAGCAGCACTATTTTCGACGAAGTATTCATTGCTTTCCAATTTTCAGCCGGTATGGTGAATTTTATATAATTTATCCGATAAAGTATATGAAATTTGGAAGAAATAAATCATAAACTCGATTGAATTGTGGTAAGTATGAATGATATATCATAAAAACGCTCAAGTTCTAGAAATAGCCTTTCCATAAATAATTGATTTTTTCCTTCAGAAATGTGGATCATATATGGAGCAATCACGTTACTTCTAATAAAAAATTAATGAAGTCTGTTCTGTCATATATGACTATTTTTTGGCACAGTAATCCAATGTGTTGACAAAAAAAACGTACAAATTTGTTGAAAGACTACCACTTCACCTTGGAGTAGGCGCCGGCAGCCCCTCTTCATAGCCGTCCGAGCCGTTCTCCAGTGGGAAATGGCGCCATCCGCAAATGGTTGCTGGGAGCGTTCAAATAGAGCACGCTATTTATATGCAGCCGTTTAGTTTATATTTGACACTTGACACTGGATCTGAAAAATCTGTTGCTCGCTGGGTTTCTTAGAATTATCATTATATTTCAGTTCCCGAATAGAAAAAAAGAGAAAAAAAATTTTGGGCCCAAAAAGGGTCACTTGAATGCCATTCTTGAAGTGCGTTGATTAGCGCATGAGCCTATAGTGTCCGTGTGGTGTGAGTGAGTGGACAGAAATGATAAAGGGCGCTTGATATCGTTTTTGCAGAAATCGTCGTCGGGTGCTCACGAACGTCTTCTACGTGATCGTGCTTCACTGTGCAGTGTTGGACGTGGCTCGAGGCCTGTGCCTTATTATTTACGGCATGCCCTACTTTGCTAATTCCTTTTACAAAATCAACCTTTCAATATCCACCAAAGTGACCCTATTTCGAGTGAGTGGAATTTAGTTTACGTTTTCAACAAAAAGCCAAAGGAAACATTGAACGTTACGTTACAAAAGTTTTTTTTCCTTGAAACACATTTCTTACATTCGCTATTGTGTACTTAACAGATTCAATTCTATCTCGGCTAATTATTTCTTTCATTATGACTAATTCGCAGAATTCTCTGCTCAACTGTTTTTCATTTTGTATTAAAAACTGATGATCCGAGAAATTGTAGTCTTTTTTACTTCTCTTTACACTGCAAAGGTTTCTGAACACAAACACATTAATTAATTCGGTGAAAATTGAATAATTTGTCATTCTTACTTTTGCTGTTATCATTAGTATTGATGTTATCATCATTAGCATTGATATTATTCTTGTGGTTAATCGGGGGTCGTGGGCGAGTGGTTGTGATGCGTGTGGTGGAGCTGCACGGGGTGGATCCCCACCCACAAACATTCTCCAGCATTCAACAACGAACGCCCTGTGGGACGTCACAGCCAAGCTATCATCATAACTGTAAGAGACACGCTCAGCCAGTATTTTAACAAAAAAATCATTCTTATTTGATCGCTCAAAGCGGTGCTATGATATTATAGATATATTCAGCGATGTAGAGTTATGTGGAAGAACTTCCTAAAATTTTTGCCAAAGGCTGATGGCAGAATAGACGTCAGTAGTGCAACGGGTTAGAGCACGCACCTCCGAATCCAGTGAGACGCGGGTTCAAGTCCCGCCTCACGCAAAAGTCTTGCCTTTCACTTAGCCATCACTGGGTATTCTACGACGTTCAAGAACAAGACGAAAGACGATTTTAGTGCTACAAAAACTGAGATTTTCAGACTTAAAAAAAAGGAGAAAACTGAGACGGACCAAATAAAGTGAAAAGGATTGCAGTTATCATCAATATTATTGTTTATTATCAAGGCGTTTACTATCGTTCTCATTATATGCTATTATTACTGTTATTATTTTATCTCTATCATTTTTTTCATGACTCCGCAACAGATCTGCTGCGTGGATCCAGTACTTTTGACATTCGGTTCGTTCGCTCCCATTTGCCACTTATGAAGACCTTTTGACTTTTTGCTTATAGGTTTGGTGTCGCTTGAAGGTTTTTGACTCTACTGGAATGTCATTAAATGCTGACCGAGTCGATTCTTTGTGGGATCTCGAGATGGCCTGTTAGAGCGTTTCCACGTAGATTAGAGTGCGTAAGCTTGTCTTATCTGGCGTCACTTTCCTGACCTTGGAGAAACGGCAGGCGTTGGTGGTCAAGCTAGCGCGTAGGTAGGTTGGGCCGCCCGCGTAGTGAATGAGATCATTACCACTAGTCTACCTGCGTTCTATTGAAATGATTGATGAAAAAATTTAATTCACTCTCTGTGCACAACTTTTGCGGCCACTGGCCTATGTTTAACCTCAAGGCGTTTATTCTTAATGAAGTACGAGGCTTTTTCTATGCACATTCAGGAGAAGACTTAGTATATGATGACATATTAACAAATATCCCTGCGCTCATGAGAAGTTTTTATTTTGGCTTCCATAATTTTAGCTTTGCTATTGTGCGGAAGGATAAAGGTGTATACTATCACTAGTAGAAAAATTCTCTGCTTATTGCGAGCTCTGAAAAAAAGCTTTCTTCGCAGCTCCCGCCTTACTTGATTTCCCTCTGCATCTTTCTTCTCATCTCCTGAAGTTCATATTGCTGACATCGGTCTTGTATGGTCTCTCAAATAGCGGTTAATAGGTAGATCCTAATAAGACTTTCTATGAATCTCGTCGCTAATCAGTCATTCTCCCTTTTTTCTCATTGTGCGGAAGCAATACTTTCAACACTCGATCGTTCTTTTGTGTTCTTTTTGAACATCGTCGAATACTGGTTGAGCGCGTTTCCTTGCATTACCGTGGTTAGCATAGCCGAGGCGCTCCATAGGGCGTTCGTTATCGACTTCCGGAGAGTGCTGATGGGTGCGGATCGGCCTCACACACCGCGTCGAGCATCAGAACCTCTCGGCCACGGCGCCCCTATTTCACCCTCTATCAATCGAAAATCTCAATTTTCTACATATTTGCGACGGCGAATTCCCAGGATATGACAACGTCAAGGAGAAGGTCTAACCAACAACGATGGAGAATGCTAAAAATTCATTTGGAAAATCAGTTGCTCCATGTCGCTTAGCGTCTGCGAGTTAATATTGGGGTAGATTCGCTCTAGAAAAGCATGTTAGTGTGCTCTATTCAGCTTTACAACTGCAATTAAGATCTACAACAATGAGACAGATAAGTCTGATCCTAAGCCAAAGGTGTCCTCTATTTTATCAGCTGAGCACGCTGCATTGTTATTTTTTGGAATTACGGAAAAATTCACTTACTGCTAAGTTGCCAATCAGAGAGAGTGCTCAGCAATGCTTAAGGAGTCTTCTCCGATCGCGGTGTAATTCCTGCTTAGCCTCTATTGATTATCAAATGTTTAGAGGGTTGCGACATATTCTTGTCAGAAAAAATATGAAACAAAGATTGTAAATGCGCCAGTTTTTCAAATCCAACGCCTTTGACGATGTTGGACTCAAATGAGGTATCAAAGAATGGATGCAGTTTATACCGATAAGAGTAGAGAACATATTGTTGACGTTGGCTAGATTTCAGATGATACAAAATTTTTCTTTTTTAGTGGCAGTTACTCAAAGGCGTGCCGTTCATTATTTCCAAAGTGAACTGTGCTACTGTACAACTAAAACGGTTCAGATTGTTACAGAGTGCTTAGAAATGGGTCTTGAATATTTAGTAGAAATTTCGACGTCAATCACGTGGAAAATCTTCGCTTCAAACAATGAGCAAATGTAGTCATGAAGTTCGAGTTCCATTAGCTCAACTTTTACTTCTTTTTTCTTGTTGAGCCAATCACGAGGTTTCCATAGCAGTTTTTTTTTTGAAAACAGTTGGCGTTTCGACAATTTCCCCTTATTTGGAGCCAAGAAAAGTCAAGTTGTCCACAACTGAGTCAACCAAATACCTCCATTATTTGATTAGAAAAAGTCACCATACCTAGATTTGAATCGCATCAAGCAGGAAAATCAAGAGATGATAGGCCACAACTATCGAACAAGTATGGCCGAAACTTGGCTCCTTTTCGGCACGGTTCAGTTCGCAGTCTGACCTTTATAGTAAAGATTTTCCAAATGCTATGGAACTTTTTTTCGTAACCAGTTAGTTTATGTATGGTGAGTTATAACTCAAAGTATTGTACATGTGGTCTAAAAAATGCTGAGTTTGTGGTTTCAGGCTTCGACATTCGCACTTGTAGCACTACGGATTTGCAATATGCTGACGATCTTCAATTTGCTCATTTTCACCACCAATGAATTTATAGTTATCCGATATCCGTTACACTATCGACGCTACATTCGACGGAAAATCGTTATAGCGGCACTCAGCTGCTGGTAAGTGGATTTTTGACTTGTGACGGTGTTCCTCCTTACAACGAAAAAAGTAGAGTTTAGAGAGTTAGGCGCTGATCATCTTCTGAAGGATGCACCATACGTTCGACTTCATTAGGCATCGCAGAGATAATAGTCATGCATACAAATTCATTCACTATGAAATGACTTTTGAGGATTTACCAATAATGCCGGCTCGTCCATTACCGTTTTCCTGAGCTCAGAAGGATAGAGGCGTTGCTTTACGGAGTGTGCGTAATGCAGTAAGAAAAATTTATATCTATAGTAATGAAAATCCACAAAGATAATCAACGCAGCGATTATTGTTATTGAATCAATTGTTCTTCTCTACACATTAATTAATTTTGGCATTTTCAATGTTTATTCACAAATGAAACGACTAATATGGTAGATTTATGACCATAAAAAGTTATCGGACTTCTATTGTTGGACGAGATGATCATAGAACAATGTCCAGTTGTTCATATTCCTTGTCAGATTGGATTCGATTGCTCAATGTGATCTCATAAGGATACATTTGTTCTTAAGTGATAAATGACTGTATCAAAAGAAAAGGCTGTAGTGATTTTCAAATCACTGCTCAGTGAAAAGAATTTAAATTAGAACGAATCACTTTTTTCAGCTGGATAATCAGCATAATTATGGGTCTGGGATTACTTGTTCCTCCATCTTCACCGTATTTACAAAATTCTGGTCTGTTTGCATCTGTAGCTATTATGTTCGCTGTAAATGTATTAATGAATTTTCAGACGAAAAACCATGGCATATTGACATCGCTACACTCAGCATGTTAATGATATCAATCTTGTGCTTTCTCGTGCTTGCCGTCGTTCTGGTAGGCTTCAAAAATCTCCTGAATTTATAATTTCCACGTACTTTTAGACTTATTCCATTACAAACGTTGCCTTGTGCTTCAAAGCGCCTTTAGTTCGCTAAATCCGTGTTCATCAAATAGTATTATATTGAGTAGAAGAAGAATGCTGCAGTTGACTGTAAAAATTATAGATGTACGGCTGAGGAAGTGAAAGGAAGGATAACATTTTTACGCGACCTATCATCGTGCAAACTGTTTGAATTCTAACTTGTATTCGATTCAATTCCTCGTATTCATCGTCCCAACGGTCTTCGAACATTTCGCGTGTTGTTTCGGCTGCTGCTTAAGCTCGCCCTCATGACCCTCTCTACCGTGCAATCTCAGAAATAGCCAGGTTAAGGTGTTTCAATCCTGATAATTTCAAAGCACTGTTGGGAAAAGAGTTGAGCGAGCACCTTCTTTTGTGGTAGTTTACACCATTGGCTATTCAGAGCACTGCGAAAAAAAATAAAACAAATGCATGGAGAAACAACAGCCACACATGGGGTCTTAGAACATTCTCATCATTAATAATTATTTCAGTATACCTATATATTATGCGCTCCGTTCTCACAGGATTCCGAGGAGAAGATCTGTACTATAGACCAAAAACAATGTCCTCTAAATCCTAGGTTAACATCAGACAAGTGAACCAATGGGCTTCAGAGAGACTAACCTGTGGTGGACTGAAATGAGATACTCACAAAATGAAATTTTATTTGGTGCTAACAAAATCTGAGAAGGATTATTCTATAAAAGAACGCCTGACGATCTTTACCATTATGATCACGGTTGCTTATGCAGCAAAATCTCAAATGTTAAAAAAACTCGTTTGAAAAAATGATTCTTTCTCTGAAGGTTGGAAGGATAGCAGCATTGGCTTGATATATCGGTAGAAACGGCAATTCATTATAAAGGCTATATGACCGCTCAGTCACCTATAACGGTGATTGGTGAAGTCAAACGTATGACGCATCCATCAGGGACTAAACAACTCCAAGAGCTCTGTCCTTTCTATGCCATGCTGCATCAATCTCCACCTTAACTCTATAGCGTTGAGGGTGCTGTTAAACCAAAACACATTGACTCAGCAATGTTGATTCGCTGCTTTAGTTCATGTTAAGTTTGACATATGTCGCACCTAGCTTCTGTGAAATTTCTTCTCCACTTTGCTTTGAATGAATGTGCGATTTCGATCTAATTTGAACAACACTTTGATCAGCAAAGGTGTGGTTCAAAGTAGATCGGAGCCACAATCTCATGAACTTTTCGATGTTAAATTGTTCCAGTTTGTCGATCGCTTCGGGCACCATCTTTGTTTCTCTGCTATTTTCGAAGCGATGATGTCGTTTTCAAAACGAAAAATTAATAAAAATTTCCGCCAATGTCCTTTTGGCCCTGACCCCGACAACATAGTTACCTACAACAGCA